AAAACTCTGCCTTGGGCTGTCTAAAGACATAAGAGCATCACACAAATCCAGGAAGGGGGAGAAAACCCACATGGGGCCTAGCCCAGCACTGAAGAATTCTCTGGAGTTTGCTCACCTGTGATAAATTGGGCTGGTGTTGTTTGCGAGCAATTGGCGACAAATTAAGCAGTTCCTGCATGTTGAAAAGTGAAGAATTAATCCAGGGTGCAGTCCAGTTCGTGAATCGGCATGGGACTCAGACTAAGAGGGTCCCAGGAGTCACTCACCTGCTGATCCGAGTCACGGCACCAAATGATAAGATTGTAGCATATCCAAAAGATGAGAAGTATAAAACAAAAGAGGCCTTTATTCTGAGAATGTGGAGAGAGAAAACAACCCCCTCCCCCAACACTGAAGTCTGGCTTTTTTTCTGGCAGGCACGTGGAGTGGGGGCATATAAGTAGCTTAGGTTTAAGGTGGTGCCTGAGGGGCATTAGAGATGCACAGATAGCTCATTGGCATTTGTTTTGCACCAGAGGCAAATTCCTAGAGGTGGGGAAGATAGAGCCACAGGTAAATTCCTAGGGGGAGATAGAGCTCCTTGGTTCTCACCAGCTACAGTGTCCCATCTGGGCCAAAATCCTTTCAGTTGATCCATCTGTTTGTGAGAATGGGGTATTAAGGTCTCCCAATACAATTGCATTAGTAGTGCTCATTTGGTTTTTCATGTCTGTTAATACGTTTTATGTAGTTGAGTACACTGATGTTTGGTGCATATGTATTTATAATTGTTATCTCTTATTGGAGTTTTCCCTTAAGAAGCATGTGGTAACCTTGTTTGTCTCTTTTGATCAGTTTTGGCTTAATGTTTAGCTAGTTGGCAAACAAAATAACTACCTTTTCTTTTTTCTAGGTTTCTGTGGCATGGAGAATTATTTTTCATTCTGTGTCTTTTAGTTTATGAGTTTATTTTTCTTGAATGCAGCATGTGGAGTGTTTCTTGATTCATTCTATCAGTCTGTTTCTTTTAATTGGTGAGTTGAGACCATTTTCATTGATGGATATAACTGTAATGTATTGGTTAATCATTTTCATGTTATTTTCCTGTTGTTGGTTCCATGTTTCTCTGTTTAACTGCTTTTCCTGCTGGTGACTTCTTTCTATTGGTGTTCTTGTGCTTGTGATCTCTTCGTAATACATCTTTTAGAGCATTCTGTAGGGTTGATTTGGTGGTCATAAATTTCTTCAATTGTTCTTTGTCATGAAAGTATCTTATTTATTGATTTAAAAAGTCAGTTTTGTGAATTATACCAATCTGGATTGAAGATTTTTTTCCTTTATGGTTTGAAATGCCTCAGTCCAATCTCTCTTGACTTGAAGGTTTATGTTGAGAAGTTGTAACATGGAGAAGAAACACCAAAATGACACCCAGGATTTGGAAGCAGATTTATTTAACATCAGACAGGCACTGATTAGGAATCAGTTGTTTCTCAAAATGTCAGACCCTGATCTCTGATGGTCTAGGGCTTATCTGGGATAAGCAAGCAGAAAGTACAAAGGCAGAATGGCTTGTCAGTTGGGGATTGCATCTTTCAGCATGCATCATAGTGACCAGCTGTGCATCACAGTGACTATTTGTTTTTAGGAGACTGAAACAACCAGAACTGCAATGGGAACTATTACTTAGGAAATTAAGAAACTGAAGTATTCTGGCTGGGTGGGGGCATATTTTCTGTTACAAAGTCTGCTATGATTCTGATGGACTTTCCTTTATAGGTGATTTGTTTTTTCTCTAGCTGCTTTTAATGTTTTGTTCTTGTGTTGATTTTCTGGAGTCTTGACTATTCTTGATTATTACAGTCTTGGTATAGATTTATTTTTGTCGTGGCTATTTAGAATTATATGTGCTTTATTTATTTGTATATCAAATTCTGTATCCGTGTCTGGAAATTTTTCTGAAATTATTTCTGTGAAGATTTTTTTTTTGTAATGACTCTTGCATTGTCTCTAGCCTTTTTCAATCAATCTTATGTTGTTTTTTGCTTCATCTTGTGGCTTGGGTTGATTTCTCATAGTCTCTTGTTATTTTAAGATCTGTTTTCTGGATTTTTAGTCACAATCATGTCTTCTAGATCTGATATTCTATCCTTGCCTTCATTCAATCTGTTGCATGTACTTTCAGTGGAGTTTTTAATTGCCTGGATTTATGTTTGGAGCTGTTTTATTCCATTTCTTTTGTATGTTAGGTATTCATAGTTTCCATAGATTTCCAAACCTTCTCTGTTTTTTAAAAATCTGTGTCTGCTTTGATTTCATTCTTTTTGATTGTCATCTCTTTTGGTAGCTGAGAAATTACGTTCTGTGTCCTCTTGTGTTTTTTCAGTGCTGCTCTTATTCAGGAGCGTTCCAGAGGTCATCCTCCAGTTTTCTCTGCCTCTTTGTGCTTTGGATTTGTCTGGGGTGGACTGGGCATTTGTGGTTGCATGTTGCTTGTTTGTATTGTCATTTTCTATTTTTATTTTACTTTGTTTTCTGTGTTGAAGCTTGCAGATTTCTTGTGTTATATAGCTTTAACCCTGGTGCTGAGGCTTTCCTAGGAAATGTCTGTTCCTCAGGATGTCTTTTAGATGTAGGTGATTCTTGGTCTTTCTGTATATTCCAAGAATCTGCCTTTCCAATTTATTAAACATGTGGAGTTTCTATCTTTTTGACTCAAGGCCCATTTCTATGGCACTGGATTATGGTGATGGTTATGACCCCTTGCAGTGTTGTATACAGGGGAGAAAAATTGATTAGAACAGTTATGGCATCCTGTTAAATTAGTACAGCTAGCAATAACAATAAATTCAAGCACAGTCTGGCTAGTGATAAACTGTGGTAATATTAGCCTGATATCTTTAGCCATAGGAGCAAATTCTACAGTTATATAATTCCAGATATATCAAGAACTTGAATGTGATGATTTTTCACTTAACCGAGTGATTTTACATTGTTGTGGTGGGAAGTTTAAGAGGGTAGCGGGTAGGTTGAAGAGATGAATGAGGGTAAATACAGTTGGGGTAGGATTGGGGGGATTGTAGGATGATTGTCCACATGTTGGGTAATTGTGGGATGTGACAGAGGAGGATCGGAAAGAGAAAGCTTGGGAGCACTGAAGTGAACCAGACAGAGGAAAGACAGTGGTCACTCACATGACAGTATCAGAAAACTGACCTGGATAATTGATGATAGAGTGGTAAAGGTCGAGTAGAATAAAACAAAAATTTAAGAGATCTACTTATGAAAGAAAAGGAGAAAAGAGAGAGAAAGGAAAATAAAACCACAGGAAACAAAAATAACCACACACCCTGAAAAACAGAAACATACCAAAAGAAAAACATGGCAAAACAGAACATAGCAAAAAGTATAAAAGAAAAAATAAATAAGAAGTGGACTGAGGCCCAGCCTGCTTCTGTTCCATGTTTTTAATCCTCAAGTATAGTGCTGCTTCAACTCACTTAGCACCTGCTGGCTCAGGTTGTTACTGTGTTTCTGACAATTTCAGGCTGCTAGTCCAGCCTGTCCATCCTGTGCACCCTGGCTGGGTGCCTGCAGGGTGGCTAGTCTCCCACTGCTCTCCGGGTCTTCCTGCACAGTTCACCTGAGTTTGCAACAGCAGTGAAGGGAGGGGCCAGTCTCTGGACCTTCTTGCAGGGTTCACCTGGATCCCAGCAGCCACCATGGGAAGGACTGGTCTTTCTATGTTTCTGTTTTTAGTAGGAGATAAATGTTTTATTTGCTGATTTATTAGATCTTTTTGGTATTGTCATGTGCATGAGTAAACCTGACTTAGAAGTAGCCAATCTGGGGGCTGGGGATTTAGCTCAGCGGCATAAGCACCTGCCTTGTAAGCAGGTGGTCATGACTTTGAATCCCGGTACCGATAAAAAAGAAAAAGAAAAAAAAAAAAAAAAAAAAAAAAAAAAGAAATCAGGACGCTGTAGCAGTCGTTCATTGCATTCAGATGAAGCTGCCCATGGAACTGTGCCTTTTTCTTTCATGATCTGGTGTTTTCTCATGATTAGGGAAGATTGTGATAGGTATGAAATGCTCTTCTCATTGCTCCATACATAATATCAACTTACCACTACGGATGGACAGCTGCTGGTTTGCTTTTTCACTGCTGATTTCTGAGCAACCTGCCTCATCCTTTGGTTTGAATAGAATATTGATTGTTTCTTTTCATAGCGCTGCATAGTAAAACCCTGTCTCAAAAAGACCAAAAAAAAAAAAAAAAAAAAAAAAAAAGAAACTTAAAATATCAATGAGAATGAATTAAAAAAAAACAAATAAATTTTGTGCTTGGTAGAGGAGGCTTCACTGTTGAAGAGTGTTTAACTTTATCAGTGTCTTGGTATTTATGTATTTTAAAGTTTTTATGTGCTTTACCTATTTTTTCTTTTTATACATGCTCTAACTCTTGCTTTTCATGTGTTCTTTTTTGCTGAGTAATATCTTGGCACTTAGATTCACTGACTTCCCGCCCTATTACTATCAGAGTTTCCAACTTGAAAATAGTAATGGTGCAGTCAAAGACAATAGCAGATTTGTTCACAGATCTTTCATTTGCCAGGAGCGGTGGCACATGCATGTAATGCAGGCATTGTGGAGGCTGAGGCAAGAGGATCACTGTGAGTTCGAGGCCAGTGTGAACGACATAGTGAAACCCTGTCTCAAAAAACAGAGCAGAACAAAACAAACAAACTAAAAATGAATCTTCCATTTAAAAAGATGAGAAATAGGCAATACTAATGAGGTTAATCTCTAATCCTTTGTAAATGCTCAGTTTAGTATATTTTTTGTGGAAATTACAGGCGTGGATACATAATAAATGTTTTAAGTCTTTGATATTTTGTTGCAGATTTTAAATTACATGTAGTCTGAAATATTTTAATAAAGACATGTTAAGTATTATTTGATATGGAATTGTTTTGTGTCTTGTATTAAACTTGTCTTACTCACAGTTGTTCTTGATTCTCTAGGACCAGATATCCTATATGATTCCAATAGATGGGAAGCCATATACTGTGTACCTAAATCCAAGGTAAACTTTTATTCTTTAGTTTGAATTTCATTTTATGTTTATTAAACTGCTTCGTTGTAATAAAGATGAAATGTGGAAAAATAAATATAATTCCCATTAAAATTTGTATGTTTTGGATGAACTGATGCTCCCTTGTAACTTAAGTTTTTGGTGCTAATATCTCAGTTAGACATTTCTGAATGGCGATTTGGAACTGAGAAAAATGGGGCTGCTACTCCTGGAGACTTGAGCTGTGGGATAATTAGCTAGCAGGACAAGTAGTCCTCTGTGGTCAGATCATAAGGAGAAGGTGAATAGAGTGACTCCAGGGAAATGTGGGCTCAGTGTTGGAAAAGCTGTATATGAATTGCTTGTGGGACATCCCAGGGGAAATGGTTAGTTGAAAATTAATTTGATTTAAAACATGGGAGGGAGCTGTGGGTTTCAACATCCTTTGTGATTAAAAACTCTCAACAAATTAAGTGTAGAAGGAATGTATCTCAATCCAATAAAGACCATGTGTTACAAGACCATAGCTAACAATATGATCATTAGTGGAAAGTTAAAGACCTTAACTTTAAGATCTCCTAAGATTACGAACAAGGTAAGAAACCCTCTCTTATAATGGCTCTTCAAGATAGTACTGGAAGTTCTTGACAGAGCAGTTAGGCCAAAGAAAGAGACATTCGGGTTGGACATTTAACATTGAGTTAAATTATCCTGGTTTGTAAGCTATATGACCTTAATGTATAGAGAACCTTAAGGAGTTCACAAAAAATTGTTAGAAAAATAAATGAATTAAATAATTTGTAGTAAACAAAGTAAAAAAATTAGTACCATATCTATACAATAATAAAGAACTATCTCAAAGAAAATCAGAGTAATCCTATTTGCAGTAGCAAATTACAATGGCATTTCCCCCAGAAATGTAAAACAACCTAAAATTTATATGGCTCTACAAAAGATTCCAAATAACCAAATCAGTTGAGCAAAATGCTGGAGGCTTCATGCTACTAAACTTCAAAATGCATTGCAAAGCTCTAGTAAATGAAGCTAACTATGCATATGTTAAATATAATCAAAAAAGTTGAAAAGATGTACCTATAAAGTAGGAGTGAAATTTAAAGACAAGTACTACAAACAAAATAGAATTGAATTCCATGGATATCTGTAAAGGACAAAGAAAGAGTTTAGATGAAGGAACATATTTAATTAGACCAAATACCTAAAAGATACAGTGTCTTCAACCATTACTGGTCCGATTATGTAAATACATGTTGACCAAAAATTGCATATTTTTGTTAATTTTTATAAGTTAATATAGCAGGAGGCTCAGGGAAAACTGTTAAGTGGTTAAAGCCAAGAAAGAGATGGTGTAATCAAGGAGAAACGTAGTCAAGTGTGGAGTGCTTTGGAGCAGTTACTTGCCTTCAGATGCTCAAACTTCGTGAGACCAGATTTAGTGGAGGCTTCAAAAAGAAGCTAATGTGTGTAGTCTACTTACGGTTCATTGGGTTGGATTGAACATGATAATTGGAAACATGATTAAAAGACATATAGGAAACGATACCCAGAAAATGCTTCACTTGAAGTTTTAGCATTTGTGCTAAAAATAAGAATTTGACACAATACATTTACATCTCCTTATGAACGCAATTATATTCACAGAAGAGAAACCTAGAAAGAGCAGAAAACTTTCATAATCCTACATCCAGTTCATATCTGTGTAAATTTTAAAATGCATTGTTCCTCTTCTTGCAGTCCCTTATCGTTTTAATTCATTAAATTGGGAAATTATTTTGAGTACTGTACTTTGAATACAATGTAAGTATAGGTCAGAAGAAAATACAGCCAAAGGTTGACATACTTTTTCTCTGAAGGCCCAGAGGAAAAATATTTTAGCCATTGAGGGCTTTATGATCTCTTCAGATCACTTTCTTCGGCTCTTGTAGCATGACTACTGCCACAGACAGTGTAACAGTGAATAGGTGTGTCTGTTTTCCACTGGTACCTTATTCACAAGGACAGAGAGTCAATCAGATTCGGCCTGAGGTCATCAGTTTAGGGATACTGCTTTGCATGTTTAGAAAGGAGTAACTGTAGAAGTCTCACTCTTTTTTTATATTTAGGTATTTTTTAGGAGAGAATTTTATGGTTTATATGTATAATCAAGGATCTATAAGTGCCTATTCTTCAGATATTCAGGTAAGATTTAAGTTCTGTTTTATCAAATGTACAGTTTTTTCCCCTTTGAATGACTTCTTATTTAAGGTGATTAGCTGTTAGAAACTTCTGAACTCCTCATCCACTAAAGACACTAGCTTGACTCAGCATCTTTCAAAATGGATCAGAACACAGATGCCATTATTCACTTATGCATTTATAATTTGTGGAATACATAAATATAAAGTAAGGTAAGCAAGCACAAATGTGAGAAATGCATTCACTGGCCCAAACCCAAAGAATGGACTCAGAGGCAGGAAGAGCAGCAAAAGTAAGGCTTTCATTGGTCTTGGAAGGCAGAGTACCCACTGAGGAGGATGCCCACTGCAATCACAGCACACATTGTCTCTGTCCTCTACCATCCTCCTTCTCCAGCTCCTCTTTGCTGAGTACCCTGGGACTCTGGTCTGTCTGGATGCTGCCTAAGTTTTGTTTTCCTTTTTTATGAGGCAGTTCCCTGGTCCACTTCCCCATTTGACTTTGGCTTTCTTCGTAATACTGTCTGTTCTTTACTCTGGCATTTCTAAAAAGCAGATGTTCCTGTTAGAGATTTCATGTGTCAATCCACCGCAGTGGGGTGGGGCATAGGGAGATTTTCAAGGGTAAGAGCCCATGATTAAAGAACGCCTGTGTGCAAGATCTCAGGAACAACAGCGGGCAGCATGGAGCAGAGCAGAGCACAAAAACGAGAGTCTTTATCGTGTAAATCTTATACACGAGGGTGTTTTCTTTTTTTTTTTTTTTGCCTTTTTTGTTTTTTATCGGTACCAGGGATCGAACTCACGACTGCCTGCTTGCAAGGCAGGTGCTTATGCCACTGAGCTAAATCCCCAGCCCCCTCGAGGGTGTTTTCTAATCTTTCCATTCTTACATAGTGCCGTAACCAGCCCATGTGTGTTTATTTGTGCTAAATCACGGTTATGTAACTGCATTGCAGTGTGTGTTTGCACTGGACAGTCGGGCACATCCTCACAGGGTCATCCACATGGGATCACATCTTTGGATGCCCCTGAGCTTTGAAGCAGTCTTTTCCTGCGTCATGTAACCTTGTGATTACTACATTTCAATTGAGCCTTAGCTATCTTATCATGGAAATGGGCCATTCTGTGTCTTTCTTCTCCCTTTTCTACTCATACCTGCATTTGTAAATAAAGGCTTTTTTACTGTTTATTTCTCCTCTAAGGTGCCCTTTGTTGCTCATACCTGTGTTTGAGTGAATAAAAGGATGCGCCTGATGCTCAGGCTGCTTCTTCCTCCCTGACTACTTGCATGTGACAGTACTTGTGTCACTTTGTCATTCAGATCCCCCACCCGCCTCACCTCCTGGGTTCAGGATGACAAACTACAGGACTAGGTCTCTCCAAACCCCATGCCTCGGTGGAAAAAGACTGGAGTGGATTGGTTCCTCCACTCAGGGTGTCCTGGGAGAGGGACCTAGGACCTGCATAACTGGTCGCAACACCGAGTAGTTCTTCAGTACACCCTGTTGAGCTTGCCCATAAAACCACAAACCCAGAACCGATCTTTGTCCTTTATCTCCATCTAGTGTTCAGGCCCAGTTTCAAGAAAACGCGTATCTAGGTTGGATCATTGCATTCACTTCTTGAGTAGTCTCCCTGCTTCCACACCGTCCATGTCCATTCACACAGTCAGTGCTCAACGTGACAGTCAGATTGACCCTGTTAAAACCGGTCATCAGCTCATGTGAGGTCCCTGCTCGGAACTCTGTGGTGGTGGCTTCCCTTTGCTTATGAAGGGCATTCTCAGCTGTACCCGCGCTTGCTGTGTACACCACACCGTTCCCACTTGGCCTCGGACTTTGTTGACTCTTAATCTCTACCTTTACTTTGTTCCAGCCATACTATAGTCTAACACATTCACTGTCTTTTTCTTTGCAGTAGTTTTGTCTTTTCTGTTTTCTAGGGTACAGAAACTTTTTGTGTTCCAAGATACCATGGTTTTCTTCCTCATTTTCTCAGGAATTTGCTCAAAATTACAGTATCCTATTAGTCCTTCCTAAGCACCATTTTAAATTATAGTCTTCCTCTTGGCGTTCTCTATACTTCTTTTGCCTGTTTGCCTTTTCTCTGTGGCAGTTAACAATATAGTATGCCATATTGTTTTCTGTCTCTCCACTTGAATAAAGTTTTCACGAGAGTTTGGCTTTTTGTGTGTTTTATTCACTGGTGCTGCCTTAGTGGCTGGAGAAGTACCTGGCACATAGTGATGTGCACTAATGTGTTGGAGGACAGAACTACACATTACCTTGCTTCGCTCCTCATGGATGGGACTGTCATTTCTCTTCCTTGTTCCTTCTTCCTTCCCTTACTTCCAGGATCAAGCACTGTGTGCTCAGAAGTCTTACATTGATTTATCTGTTCCAAAATTGATGGCACCACTGACTCTGGGAAAGGAAAGGCGTTTCTGCCTCGGCCAGTGTTTGCCCTTCTATGTGCCAGCAGTTTGATGATACTGTTGTCCGAGGCGAGCCTCTGTAGGATGAGTCTGATGAGTCTCGGCGCTTTGCAGTGTGTTGATTCCAGCTTTAGGACCTAGAATAACATTTCATTTTTTTTAACAAGTTTCACGTGTTTTCACTATTTTCTATTGTTTTCAGGTATTGTGTTCTATATATATTATTTAGATGTTCAAAACCATGTGATTCAGAGTTGCAGATATTGAGTGTTTATCAGTTACTAAGAAAAATCATGTTTAAAAATTTTAATGTGAGTTTGAATTTTCTATTTTTAACTGTGCCTTCATTTTTCACTATATATTTTTTGAAGCTATGTCATTTAATGCATACAAATTTGGAATATTTGTATCTTTATGGGGAACTCTTGTAATTGTGAAATGTCCCTTCTTATCTTTGAGGGTTTTTTTTTAGTACAGCTTCCCAGTCAGTCGCCCTTTTGTATTGTGTTCACATAGGGTGTTTAGCCTTCAAACGTCCTGTGCTATCATGATTTGTCTCTTTATAACAGCATATTATTGTATTAAAGAAATCTAGATATACAATCTTTGTCTTTCATTTGATGAACTAAATTTATATATTGGATAACAGTCTTACCTAAGAGTAAGGTTACTTCAGAGTATTATTACTTTGGAATATTATTACTTTGGAATAAGGATATAAAATAGTACTCTCAAGTCATAATCTGAGTAGAGTATTTAATAGAGTACAAATGTAACTATGTGGAGACTTTCTTTGTGGCACTTGAGTCTTATTCTAAATCATGTCACTGGGGAGCAATATTGGGAAGGTTCTGTCAGGTAGGAAATCATTGAGAATTTGCCATTCTGAAGTAACCAGTTTACTTTTTCTTCTTTCCTAGCCTGAGTGCTACTATCAAGGATACATTGAAGGACATCCAAATTCTGTTGTTACATTGACCACATGCGCTGGACTGAGGTTATCTATTTTCTGTTGTTGATTACTGAATAGTAGAGTTAGGGTTTCGGTTGCAGTGACTTTATCCTGTTAACACTAAATACGTGACTAGGGTGGGTTTCCTGTTTCCAGGGGAGATTATGCAGTTAAATCCTCGGCTGCACTCCCTCCCACGGCTTCTGATTCTTCTCACTTTCCTCACCGGCCAGAGTTCCCTGAGGGTTTGGATTCTCTCGTCTCTTTGCTCTGCCTCTTTTTTTTCTTATCTACTGAAATGATGATTACAGTATATTGGAAAGATAAGTTTAGGATGGTTTGCTTTTTCAGCAAATAGAGTGTTTGTTGTATCTATGATATATCTCAATTTTAAGAAATATGAAAGCAGAAATTAAATAAGCCTTACTTTTTTCTTAAGGAAATTATCTTCAAAATAAGAGGGAATGTTATATGTAAACAAATAATTACTAACATCATGTTCATATTTTTCCAAATACTATCACTGTCTTGAACTCTTCAACAATTCCTGAGTTTGTTCTTCTCCGTTAGTGTTCTCTAGCTTGTTTTATAATGACCCTCACTTGCATAAACAAATATTTTTCACTGTTTCTTACATGGAATACTGAAATTTAGACCTTAAAGTTGTTTTTTACATAGTTGTGACATAAATATTAACTCACGTTCAGTGAAGGGTAATTACACAGCTCGCTATAACTTTAGAATCTTGATGTTGATTTCTTATTCAGATGGTATATCAATACATTTTATTTCATTGTTACTGCTGTTTTATTTTTATAATAAAATTGCACCTTATATATTTATAAAGGTAATATAGTTTTTTTCAAAAATATTGCTGACCAGAGAAAAATTCATCAAAATTTCCACTGATTATTGCTTTAATCAGACACTGAGTTGAATACCAAGGAAATCATTTGATCATTAAAATGATGTGCTCCTTGCAGTTGATTGGATAATTGATTAGGTGTTGCTTTTGTAAATACAAATTTTGGTTTTGTCAATTCAGGAAGTGATCTATTTCTTCAAAATAAGCTGTTAAAACAGTTTTGAACAAAATACGGTACTCAGAGCACCACATTCTTTTCTTTTGTATTTTGTCAGTTTTATAATAATTTCATTAAAAGCACTTAAGACTTTGTTTTGGATTTTACAGAGGAATACTTCAGTTTGAAAATGTTTCATATGGAATTGAGCCTGTGAAATCTGCAGTTAATTTTCAGCATGTACTTTACAAATTAGGAAGTGGAACCAACAAACTTGGAATTTTTATGAAAAATAGCAGAAACATAAAAGAACAGCCAATGGACAATAACATTTTTATAAATAAAAAAGTGAGTTGTGTATGTTTCATTGCTACTTACAAGGCAGTTATTTTTTCTACGTATTTTAAATGTATTAACCTACTTTGCAGTTGTGGGAAATACCCTTTCCTTATGAATACCTCAATATTTTATGAATTAACAGTTGTCTTGAAACTATATATTATTTTTTCCTTCTTGCAGCAATCTATCACTTAATTCTTAGGACCCACTTTATTTTTGTACCTTGGTGACATTCTTACAACTTCTAAAATTTATGTAGAATATTTCAATATAAATTCAAAAACTCAGTTTCTACTTTTCTCTTTATATGTATTGAAGTTAATATTTTATAAAAGTTATATTCATGTCCATAAGATGCACATTGATTAAATATATATAAATTTAAAATGCCAGTAACAAGATTGGCAGATATGGATGTATAAATTCATCAGTGCATGCCTTACATAACTGTATGTACTGTTATTCATAGAAGCAATTGTAAAGGAGAAAAATTTTATGCCAGCTATGACTGGCATAAACATGTAAACTTAGCTGAATGGAGTGGCATATGTAAATTCTTCTGGTTGTTTTAAATGTTCAGTGCATTATAGTTATCACTGTTCTGCACAGTAGAAGAAAACTTACTTTTAACTTAGTATCTATTGATTCCCTTTTCCCCATCATCCTTTCTCCTCTTCGCTACTCCCTCTAGCCTCTGGTAACAAGCATTCTACACCTAGTGCGAGCTTTTGCAAAATCAGGGGTTTCCGATTTTCTGTGTAAGTGAGGCCACGTGTTACTTGTCTTTCTGTCCCTCTCCTAATGTAATGATCTCTGGTCTGATCCATATCGTACAAATGACAGGGTTTCGTTCTCTTAATGGATGAATAATGTTCCATTTTGTATAAGTACTACATCTGATCTGTTCTTCAGTGGATGTACACTTATGTTGTTTGTATACCTTTGCTTAAGTAAAATTTTAAAATAAGAGACAGAGCCTTGGTCAGGTTTAAAAAGTATTCAATGCAGTGAAGTTCAAATAGCACTGCTTTCTGTATTTCACAGAAGGTGAAAAGCATGGATATTAAGAAGTGACAAGACTATATTCTGAACTGAAAAAGAAATGATGGAATGAAGAAACCTGCATAAATTTAAAAGAAGCTACATAATTCAAGGAAGTTGTTACAGAAATAGCCACAGAAAAGAATTGTTTTTCTAGGCCTGCTGTAATGGTGTGTGTCTGTAATCCCAGCACTTGAGAGGCTGAGGCAGGAGGATCACTGGGAGTTCAAGGCCAGCCTGGGCTACTAAGTGAATTAAGGCCAGCCTGAACTGCATAGCAAAACCCTGCCTTAAAAAGACAATGAATTGTTTTTCTTTCTGTCAAGATCTTTCCTGAGGAGAAAACAATCCTTCATATTTTCTTTGAGTACAAGTCCCTCAAACTTGGCTGCTACCAGCCTGTGGACACCAGGATGATGAGAATCAGCCTGAGACTTTTGCTAGAATTTTGGAAAAAATTGTGAACTGCCTCTGGGATTGTTAAATATAACAGTGAAGCTTGAGGTCACAGGGAGCTTGAGATTGTGGTCATATCTGACACACCGAGAGAACTTGCCTGACACTGGAGCTAGGTAGCACCTAGAGAAATAAGGAGACAGTGCTGAGGAATAGAATGGAAGTGTGAATCTGAGTGTATTTCGGGCTTCTTCAGTATCATGAATCTGTGTGTGTGTGTTTGTGTGTGTGTATGTGTGTGTGTGTGTGTGTGTGTGTGTGTGTGTGTGTATTTGCTGAAACAAGTTTGAGTTGTGGTTTTAGACTTAAAACTCCTGGGTCATGGTAATTACAGTGCTTTCAGATATACTGTGTCTTTAAAACTCATTAACGAACTCTCTTTTCATGTAGTATAATGAAAATGGTGGATATTTCCAAATTACAGAATAAAAGATCAAGTGATAAACAGATTAGAAAGATCGAGGGAAAAGATGGAGAATAATTAACCGCCTACTTTTTCTAAAGAAGTATTTTTTTTTCAATGTAACACTTTAAATGGTGATTGGAGCTGGGTATGGGGTGTACACACAGCTGTAGTCAGAATTATGGTACAGAAGGAGTGCAGGTTCAAGCCAGCCTGAAAAAGGGCTGGGGATGTAGTCAGCACAAAAAAGAAAAGGGACTGATATAAAAGCAGAAAATATTCTTAATTTGAGGAAAAACTTTATATTTTTTTTGGCTTTTTGATTATTTTCTTTAAAACTATTTTTATCAATACTTACCAATTTTACAAAAACTAGGTTCAGTGCACAAAGTATATTCTTTGTTCATTCTTTGTTACCTTTTTCTCATCTAATGTAGTCTGCCTTCTACTTTCATGTCATATTTTTCTGGTTGCATATTAGGGAAAATGAAATATTTGTGTGAGTCTGGATTATTTTACTTACTTTAATGATCTCCAGCTCCATCCATTTTACACATAACATTATTTTCATACTTCCTTGTGTCTGAGTGAAGTCCATCGAGTATATACACCATATTTTTCTTTTCCAGTCACTTGTTGATGAGAATGTAGGCTGATTCCTCACCTTAACTGTAATTTATAAATTTTAAGTGTTCCTTGCTCTTATAAATAATAAATTAAAAAGTATGACCAACTAAATACAGTATTTTTCGAGTACGTTCTGGACTTGAAGTTTAAAAAATGAATATAACATCAGATTTCCTCTAAAATAATTTTAAAATTAGCCACCTAGTTATTTTTTTCATCAAAATCATCTCATTAAGAATAACCTACCTAGTCAGATCTGGTGGTGAGTTCTTGTAATGCCAGCCCCCTGGGAAGCTGAGGTAGAAAGATTGCAAGTTGGAGCCCATCTTGGGCGATTCAGTGTCTCAGTGAGACCCTGTCTCAAAATAAATAAAAATTGGACAGGAGTGTCGCTTAGTGTGAAGGCCCTAGGTTCAGTCCTCAGCACCGAAAAATCTGTGTTGCTTATCAAGTTTGGGAAAAAATTGAGGTACAAGAATTTATTTATAAATTATTTTATCATTTAAAAAAGAATGCATAAGATAGATATTAAAATAGCAGAGCTCAGAAATTGCAGCCTCATTAACCCACTTGGAATTGATTAATTAGGAATTCTTGATATCAGATATTAAGTTAGCAATCTATTTTAGTGAAGCATTAATGAGAAAAAGCAGCCTGACTCAGTTTCTAGTCCTGTCTGTACTCTTTAGTGGTAGGGACAAATATTTTTTATTGACAGGATTCAGAAAAGTTTTTTTTTTTTTGATGGAAAAATACTTAAACTTGCTGGATTTTAATTATTTGTCATATACTAGATTTCTAACCTTTTGTGGAACCATCAGAGTGGGAAGGAAGGACAGAATCAAGTCTTAGTGCGAGTCTGCTCTTTGCCACATACCATGGCTCGTACAATACCTCATGTTCTACTTCTTTAACTTTTTATTTTCTTAAAGTTTTCATTTTAAAATTGTAAGTAACATATATATGACTACTATTAAAAAGCAATGCTCTTAAGATTCCTACTTTCAATAACTGGAAACTAGGTTAATTGGATCAACTCTCATGCTGAAGATATAAAGTCATGCCTAATACAACTATACATATGGAAAAGCAAATATATATATGTATATTTAAAATTAAAAATAGATAACTAAATACCTGATAAGAGTTGCATGTCAGTGGTAAGGATATGTGTAGTGCCAAAGTGACTTTTGCTTCTTTTAATATCCAGGAGAGGGGTGAAGTGTGGAGCTTTCCTCAGAAGTAAAACGAACTTATTAGACAACATTCGATTTCTCTAAATTAGTGGGAATGCTTTATCTCTAAGAAAGTAAGAGAATAGGGCCATGAGTTTGAGATTCCCTGGAGAAAAATTGGAATAATAAAAATACCCCAAAATCATGAAAGAGCTAGCTGCCTGAGTCCAAGAGGTTCCGAACTCCTCCCAGCCAGACCCAAGGCCCCAGTGCTGTCCTACTCCAGGGGTGCACTCTGCCTAGCTGCCTGGGCCCTGGAGGTTCCGAACTCGACCCAGTCAATTATAAGAGGAGCAGTGTTGTGTCCATGCTAGCTGCAAGGAGGATCTGAGCTCTGCCAAGCCCAGTGTCCTAGAGAAATCCAGTCAGCCTCACAGCCAGCCTCACAGGCCACAGAGCAGAAGTCACTAGTGCCATAGTTGGGGGTGTGTGTGTGTGTGTGTGTGTGTGTGCGTGCGCTCTGGTTAGCCACAGGGATATCAGAGGACTGAAGCTCTGCTGAGGGCAGTGTTCCAGTGCAGTCCATCGGGAGGGTGCCTGCCAGCCACATGAGTCCCAGAGGAAAATGGCACAATGAAAGAGCAAGACGCAGTTGCAGTCCTCCAGCTCACCAAGAACTGAGGAGACATTGAAAGGGAAGACACTGGAAATCACACAGCTGAACTTTCTGGAATGGTAACAACTGAAGTAAAGAGACAAATGCTGAGGGTTTAGCTCAGCGGCATAAGCGCCTGCCTTGCAAGCAGGCAGTTGTGAGTTCGATCCCCGGTACCGATAAAAAAGAAAAAGACAAAAAAGAAAAAAAAAAAAGAAACAAGTGCATGAAGCTATAGAGGAAATCAGATCAGAAATAATCTCACAGGTAAAAAATGAAAAGACAAACGTTATGAAAGAAATGCGTATATCTGAAGAAAATATTCATTAAAAATAACATAAGAAAATGATGGAAACCTTGACTGAACAATATAAATATAAGATAGAATTAGAATGCATGAAACAGATCCAAAGTGATATTCAGGAAGTTAAAAATTTCATTGAAAGCTGGCACAACTGCCTGAATGAAGCCAAAGATCAACTCACGGACCTTGAAGACAGGATGGAACCTTACAATCACTAATGAAAAAATCTCTTAAAAATAACAAGGAATCAGAAAACAACAGTTCAACAGTTGCAAGATGATGCAAAGAGAAACAATATAAGACAATATTTCATTGATCAGTGTCTCTAAAACAACCAGTGGGTTACAG